AAACAGTTAGGTTTTCTTGCCTTTTTTTCTTATTATTATTTTTATTTTTTTTTATTTTGGCATTGGGCTTGTTCTGGCATCTGGCATTTCATACTATTCCTAGTTGTTCTCCCCCTGCTAAATCTGGCTCTGAGGAGTAGAGCTGTACATCTGAGAAGGTTTAAAACAAGCCTTCTAACGACTACCTAAAAGGAAGCCCTTAAAGGCACAAAAATCTACAATAAGTTAAAATGATTTGTATGAAAAGTAGCTGTACAATGTTTCACATACATATGGCAATGACCTCAACTATATTGTCATGACAGTATCACAAAATATCACATCTTGATTCTTCAGGTGTGGGAGATGATTTCCTTGAATGGTGCACTCCAATTAAATAGCATTAGGTCTGCATGCAGCAGTATGGTTCAATGGCTGAAGTGGTTTTTAAATGATACTTAACATCAAAACATATTTGCAGAACTGAGAGCTAAATAACAGTCCTGTTTTGTTGTTCCTTGTCAGTTTCCATTACTGTTTATGTAATTTTGAGCACGTGTCTTCCTGAAAAAACAACAACAACAAAAGTTGAAGGATGGTGTTTTAATAATGTGAAGTTGTATAGTAGATCTAGTAGTAAATTTGGATTGTGTCAGCACATATATAGGAAACTGGATATGTACATTTTGTACAATATATGTTATGTATGATTTACTCAGTTGATTCCAAGAACTAGTAATAAGGTAAACATGCAAATATATATCTTCAATGTGTATACATTGATTTGTTATACTATAAAAGAGTTAAAAAAGTCAGTACAATACATGGGGTAAATTTGGATGCAAACACTTAAAGGGACAAGACTTAGGGGTAACTTTAAGCCCCAGGGGGTTCAGTGAGCTACTCCGGACTAAGTCTATAAATTTAAGGGGAATCCAGGCTCAGAAGTAGCGCAAAAGGACTTCCTGCTATAGTTAGCATTGTAAATATTGTGTAAATGAACTGGTTCCTATGGACTTAACCTTAGTTTTACCTAAGGAATTGCTGAAGTATTCTCCTGTTACTTTTCTGCTTACAATCCATAAAGGTGAAGTAAGCATTAGGGAGTAAGAGCTGCAGGAAGTTTTGGGAAGATTATGTGTTTGGTTAAAGCAAGCAAGTAAGAGCTTGGGAGAATGCTATTTTCACAGAAACCCAGGACACAAATGCTTCCTGAGGTTCCCAAAACATTGTACTTTACAGCCAGTGCCCTGTGGCTTATGCTGGGCTTGCTATTCTTGTTAGTTATGCCATACAATGGTAGTTTTTCACATCTCTTCCTTGCATCTCCTCAGTACCACTTCCTTCCCCTTTCCTGCCCCCCTCCCCCCGCAAGAGCAAAAATAAGCACATGCTAAGATTACCTCATTGCCTATAAGCTGTTTTTCTTGATTGCATTTAAACATCTATAAGCATGGTGAGGGTCATCACAGGGCTACTGCTGTATATACACCTTGCTTAGGCAATTTTCTTCTGTTTCTACTGATACTAGTATTGGGGAAGCAGACACTTTTTTTCTTGTTTTTCTTCTTTATCATCACTTTCACTGAACTTGCACTTTACTAAAAGAAAGAAGGTTCTCTTTGCAGGTAGTAAGCAATTAGTTGGAACCCAGCACTAACATAACTGGCTTTGCACAGATCCGTCAGTATGAATCAGCAGCCTGCAAGACTGAGCTCCAGTTGCCAGCAGTTACTACTGTCTCCTACTGTACTGGCAGAACTCAGTTAAAACAATACCAGATGCAAAAATAGCAACAGTAATAATAACAATAATGATGAAATAATTAGTTGTCTTTGCAGAGACATCTGTCTGACTGTGCTTTAATGGCTAATTTGTATGTAAACCCTTCGAGACCACCTACTGTAACTATACAGACTTAGAGGTAGTGGGTTTTTTTTTGGTTTGTACCATAACAACAGGAAAGAGAAAATTAGCTGACTGGCAATAAATGCCAAATGAAAGAATTAATTGAAGTTAGCCAAGGTATTTATAACATTTATAACATTGTTAAACTGTTGAAGAGAAAACTCTCAATTTCTCAAACTTTCAAATTAATACAGAGCTAGCTATCATCATTTAAATCTGTTTATGTCTTGGTTTGGTTTTGATTAAATTGCTATACCTTAAAGAATATTGGTCTGAACTACTTAATGTTTCTAAAATCAAGTCAATGTTTATAAATATGGGATATTACTTTAGACTGAAACATATTTTTTAAAATACTTTTCCTTCATTTGTTTTTCTCTGTGTGTTAGCACTGTTCTTGCTTTTTTTCTACAGAATCCTTGCTAATTTTTCACAAAATTCTGCACTTTTTCTACTTTTCTTACAGTGCTTTAAAGACACTGTATTTATCTATATAGCGAAGCTAACTCACTTCTATTGCCACCTGCTCAGCTGAAATTTCCAAGTGGCAGAGCACAATGCAGCACAATGGTAGTAAGTGACAGAAGAAATGAAAGCAAGCCAGCTCTGTTTAAAGGAGGGCAAATAGAGTACCTGAATGTTACACCCACTATGTAGGGGAATGGAATTAAAAAAAAATAGAAATCTTCAACATTTTCATGGCACCCTTTTTAACTTCTTTTGTTAGATTAGAGAGGTTTTCAAGAGGGAGGAGTTTCTAACTATTGAATGCTTTGTACTCTGGAAAGTTTGATCTTTCAGTGCTGGTGCTGTATGCTTTTTGAAACAATCATGATCAGAGCACATGGCATACAAGCTTTGTGTCCTCAGAATTACTATTTACATATGCTATTTTATATAATAAGTGACATATAAATTGAAAATCAGTGAGAATCTCATGTACCCCAGACATCTTTCTAGTTTCAAAATTGTCATTTGCTCTTTTAATTTATTTTCTCAAAAGGGTTTATTAACAAGTACAACTTACAATGAGCGTGTCTCTGTGCGTTTTGCAATAAATAAGTCTGGGAACAGTGTGAGGTAAGGCAGCTTATGATCAAATTCAGTGTTCTGCACTGTCTGTTCTTATGCATTAATTTTCTCTATGACAATCTTTCTATAGAATGAGAATTCAAAGCATACTTTATGGCTGGTGACTGGCATTTATGGTTGAACATACCAACGCTGAAAGCTGAGAGATTGCATTTATAGGGTTAATCAGACACAATATTGTAAAGTGTGCCTTTGCAAGAGCAAGCAGTGACTCAAGAAGAAAAGAATATGTGGTGCAGAAGATTTAAAAGAGAAAGGAAAAAAGAACATTAAAAAAGTCTGGCAATTTGAGAAATGGAGAGATATTTTAAAAATAACATCTAAACTGAGGAACCTGATTTGGTAGAAACAATGGGAAGGAAGAGCTTTGTCTTCTATGCATCAGACCCCACATTCTCAAGGTGGACGCCCATAATATGAACATACATATGCTCATCCTTCTATGCCGAATTTAAGTGATTCAGCAACAAAAACGGGCCTCTATGTCAGTTCACCAGCCAAGCATTCATCTACCTAAACTTACAACAATCATTGTTCTTCTTGCCTTCAGCTGCTTTAGTTTTCAGAGATGTGAATGAGACGTGACCTACACACCATGTCCTGCTTTACTACAGGGCATAGTTTTGCATTCTGAGTACCGTTTTTGTGTATTGCATAAAGCAAGGGTAGATGAAGAAATAAATATGTGACTATATGGCTGGTCTTTATTATAATGGTGTGCACTAAGTGGTGAAATAAGGTTGCATGGCAATTTCTGATCCAGGATTTTCCTGAAAATAGAAATTTTTATTAGACTTCCACTGTTTATAAACATATTTTTGCATGCAGGAAATGTGCATATATCCATGCATAGGTACACCTGCTTCACATAACCTGTTCTACCATTTTCTGGTTTTGACTCTGCATACTAGTTATGAACAAGAGCTAATCTTAGCTAGCTAATGAGATCTGACATGGTTGCAGTCCATAGCAGTATGGCTGGAGGCTAGAGGATTTGTGTGTGTGTTGTTTTATTCATGTGTTGTCCAGGAGAGGACTGGAAACATTATGTAAGAGTGCTAAGCACTCAGTGTCAGCCTCTAGGCAAAATACGGGTAAATGACTCCTTCAAAATAAAATTATATAAAATTTAACGTTTTGGTTTTTTTTTAATGGAAAGACAATTTGCAATGGAGCATGTCTGTCTGTAACCTCATCTGCCCTGTATAAATGCAGTGAATGTCTAGAGAGGAGAACACTTACTATATAGTTATATCAGGTAAGTTGAAGTTAGTGATTTTGAAAACATATATTGGCATGTGGAGTAGCAGTTATTAATTTATCATCTCTTATTTTTATCTTGAATAATACAAGTTCTTTTCCACAATTACAATTTCTTTTCTCCATCTCCTGCTTATCAAGTATTATGTCCTAGGACAGCATCTCATTGTTCCTGTGAGGTCAACTGGCCTATGACACCATCTAGAAAATCTGCAGAAGACAGATCTCCCTTTCCTCCCCTTTCTCAGTGAAGCTGCACTAAGATTTTTTGAGTTTTGCATTTGGCTCTCTCATATAGCTAAATCTCTGCACTGCTGCAGCTCTTTGAGCGCCTTGCAGCTTGTAAATGACTCATGCGGCACACTCCCTTCCCTCTAGCCAGCATGGAGAAAGCCCAGAAAACTGTGCTTGGGAATGATCTTCCTTCTGGCTTACATCACAAATTACAGGATAATGCCCAAAGGCACAATACAGCTTGAAATACATAGTCATCATGAAACATACAAATACAGTTGCTCTTAACAGGAATTGCATACCCACAGTAATTTACAATTTTAACTCCAAACTGCTTTCAAGCCTTTACCTTTACAAACTTTAAAAAACTGATTTCTTTTTTGGTAAGTGCCTGTAACTGGCAGTTATTATGTTTGATGTGAATGGACTATATTTCAAGCAAGCAAAGACATACAAAGGCATCCAAACAAATCCCATTATTTTCTATGAGATTAGAGCAGCAGTTTGAGCACAAGTGAATCTTGGAATATACAAAGATACTTCAAATTAGCCAGCAACTTTAGATAGGTAAATGTTGCAAAGTATTGTTGCACTGATACTCAATTCAGTCTATATTCCACTTACCAACTGTTGCCCAAACATCATCTCACTCAAAAAAAATCTGCAAATTTACAATTGTGTGTTCCAGTATAAAAATAATAACAATAAAAAAAATCCTAAATGGTCCATGAAATCACCATTTATGTATGAACCTTGTGTAATCTGATCTTCAGAAACTCCAAGTGACCATGAAATTGTTGTTACAGGTTGTACCCAATCCTTCTGACAATCAAGCCCATGCTGCTCAAAAGCATTACCAATTTAGATACCAAAAAAACTTCCTCTTTTCTGTTAAAATACACCTCACTGTGAAAGAGGAACAAGTTTGTGCTCACCCTGTAATGAGCAACTTTGGTATTGTAATAACAGCCAGAGATACAAGCAGTTGCCATCTAATGCTTGAGCATGCTTACTTTGATGTAAACCAAGTTTTCATGCCAGAGAACAAAATTTCTTGTAGAACATGTATCCTACCTATTTAAAAAATCGACTGAAGTAGCTCATGTCTGTGTTAAAATTTCACTTTTCCCCACCAACCAGCAAATTTAGTATATGTTTATTTTCCACATACTAAACAATTTCCCCATCTGCACCTACTGAAATCTGCTAAATATCACATCAAAGAAGTAATAGAGAATAGAGTATTCAGGTGAATGCTGTCTGCACCCTACAACTGCTGGTGCATGACAAGAGCTCAAAAGCTAAGTCTCTTGAGAAATGAAACAATGCTAGGAAATATTTATAGCTCAAACACATATTGTTAAATTATTAGAAGTTTAGATTAGATATAAAGAAGAAGTTCTTTACTGTGAGGGTGGTGAGGCACTGGAATGGGTTGCCCAAGAAAGTTGTGAATGCGCCATCTCTGGCGGTGTTCAAGGCCAGGTTGGACAGAGCCTTGGGTGACATGGTTTAGTGTGAGGTATCCCTGCCCATGGCATTTGGGTTGGAACTAGATGATCTTAAGTTCGTTTGCAATGCCAACTATTCTATGATTCTATGATTAGCCTAAGTTTTGGCTTACACTAGGCAAACACTTCCAAACAACTCCCAAACACAGTCTGGAGACCTTGTTCTAGGGCACCTTTAGTCAAACAGAATGTCTGCAGACAGGGAGGACAATGTTAGTCTAGTACAGGCAGTGATTTGTACCTGCGGAGAAAAGCAAGGACATGAGGTGGAATAGGCTGTATTTCTGCTACTGCTTGTGCAGACCAAACAGCACTGGAAACTGTTTCAGTCTGGTTGCTGCAGTGTTACCAGCACCTCAGTCTCCAACATCTCACAAAGTGTCATGTGTTGAGGGAAACTGATTCTATGGTCTTTGCCTTCCAAGCTTCCTCAGCTTTTACAAAACTTTTGTCATATGGAAGTCCTTGAACAACAAGAAAAAAAATTATAAAATATAAACCAAGTCAGAAAAAGCCTGCATGCAAGCAGGATGTCAGAAGCCTATTGCTAGTGACATATGATATTCATTGATAGTAAATTTTGAAGCCCATATTTTCCTAATTAAATTGGGAAATGCCTTGCAAGTTTAACAGAAAATTTTAGATAGTTTTCATTTTTCTATTAGAATGCAAAACAGAACATGAGTACAAAGAAACTTCACAGGTTATTTCTCAAGAAGATAGATACTGCTCACTAGAACTTCATTTAAAGAAATATTCTACCTTCTGCAGCTTTTGAATCTCTTAACATGCAACATTTTTTTCAGCAGTAGATGTCGAGTACAAAGGAATGTCTATCAGCAAACTTTGAAAAATGACACTAGGAGAACTTTTTTCTTAATTACTGATTATATTAATGGGAATACAACTACAAGCATCAAGGTAACTTCGGAGGAAACAAATGTTGATGGTTTTAGCTTTTTTTTAAGAGGAAGAACCTCTATTCTTAAGGTAGAATTACAGATTTTAACAGGAATGCTGGTTCTTGGGCGACATCTACAAATCAAGAAAGTCACCTGCAATGAAATTAGGAATACCAATAACAGCAATGCCACTGTAAAACATTAAATCAGTATCCAGAAAATGGTAATCAGGTGATACTAAATATACAGAGGGAAGGTAGAAGTAAGAAGGTAGACTAGTAATATTTTTTCCTTTTACCTTCTCATACTTGCCTAATATTTCTTCCCTCTGTATTCTACAACATGACTGCAAGCTGGAATAAAGTGGATTTCTATTCATATATTCCTCTCTCATCTACAGACTATCTTACTTACCTGTTGAAAAAAGAAGTATATATTCTTGGTTTATAGTGATGCTGATAGGGAGTTGCACTGCAGCTGAGAAAGAATAATATAAACACAGGTGAAACCAGTGGATCCTGGTGACCATTTTATGAATGAGAATGACAAAAATAGAGGTAGGAGAAAATGAGAAAATCTGGATAAAATAAGCCAGTATGAAGACTGCCAAATGCAGTAGTGTTGTTAATGTAAGCAACCTGCTAGAAATACTAATTATTGATGATTTCCAGAATAATAAACATTCATATAAATTTTAGCAAGAAAGAAATCTGCTCTGTAAATATGATGTTCATTTGTCACAAAGTAATAACATTTCCACCCTCTGTCTACACGTTGTAATTGTCTGCATACAGGAAGCATATTATGTGATTGTTATCTGGTATTAAAATCTTCCAATTATAAAAAAAAACTGTTGCATCACTATGAAAAACAATTTAACATTGAGTATAAACAGTGCATACTTTTTATATGTCCATTTCCTATTTACAAGTTAAAATAACGTGCATACACATAATACACACAAAGAAGGAAGCCATGCTATTTAAATAAATCTGTAGGAAGCTAAGATTCTTAAAAATAACAAGAGTCTCTGCATTGGAAGCATTCATTTAAGTGGTCTTCGTACAAGTAGCAGTACTGATGGATGCTTTTGTGGATGAACACTACTTATATTATTAAAAAAATACAGGAAAGGTTTCCAACTCAGCAGAGATCTCTTTTGGCTCCACCACGACTTCAAGTAGTGGGAGCAATTTTTACTATGTGGATTGTCATCTTTTTAAAGCTGAAAATATTCCTGTAGCTACATCAATATATAAGTTCCCTGATTTAAAAAGAGTTTGAAGTTTCCAGAGGAAGTAATGAGGAGTAGAAGTATAAGAACTGAGCAAACGCTTTATCACAATACATTTTGTTTATCCATATTTTTTTTTATATAGTTTTGTTTCTTTGGGTGTGAGACTGGGAGTTACAGCATTGGGCTACCATTAGCCATGCCACTCTGAATTCAGCCAAAACAGAGTAACCAGCCTATCCTCATGGCTTTGTCTCTGCTTCTCCACCTCTCTCCTGCTAGAGGTTCCTCAGATAGAATGACATAACTGCATATGCAGTTGATCTGGTTTTGTCAAAATGATCTAGATGTTTTAAAAAAATATCCACTCTTAAAGTGATTAAATGGGTAAGGATAACTAAATGCTAGCTATATATGGTGATATGCTGGGAAGTCTGAAGTGATGGTATCATCTGGAAAGGGTTAATGGTGAAATGCAGTCATTTTTTAGATGGCTACCTTCTAATCGTGCAGCCAGACCAGCATATTGAATTCAGATTGTAAAAAAAAAAAAAAATTAAAAAATCCCCAAACATAGTGGAAGATGGAGACTCAAGAAATCCAAAGCAAAACTGGAGAAGGTTGAGGACTAGGTTTGAGATTGAGGGAGAGGTTTGAATTTGGGTAATGTGCCAGCAAATAACCTACAAAACAGTTTAGAAGGTAAGTAAGTAAGCTGTAATTTTTTTCAACCTCTTTTTGAACATTTTTGAAAGAAAGAAAATAAACCAAGTAATAGAAGTTAGAGAGAAGCTGCAGGAGATACAGGTGAAATCTGTAAGAACTGAAGGGAAAGGGATAGGGAATTAAGGAGGAAGTCATGAATGCAAATATGGAAGATGCGCTTGAGAAAGTTAAAGGAGTAAAAAAATTAGTGCTTGGGTTAGAAATTGCCTGAAGTAGGAGAAACGAAACATTTTAGGTCAGGCCACAGGCAATTCTAATAAAGTGAGTGTGGAAAGGAATTTTTGAATTCAAAATCACAGTAACATAAAAAAAGTTGATAATCACAGAAACTATGTGAAAGTTTTAAGAAGATAAGCAGTGCTGTGGAGGATATTGACCTGATAATAAAAATGTAGTGTGCCTCACAACAGTAATATTCCTCTTGATAATTTCCCAGAGATTGCCTGTTGGCATTTTTGGAAAGGTAAAATAGGAAGTCATAGGTTGTGAGGTATTCGTCTGTGTCTGCTGAGATTTTATATAGTGTCAGAATGTGCGCAGTACTTAATAGACTTGGTCACGAGACAGGACAGTTGGCAAGAGGATAGAAGTCAGGAACAAAAGTTGCCTCAGTAATGTCTCTGTTGTGTAGCTGTAAGTCATTGAATTGGCAAATGAAAGAGTAAAAGGAATTTCTTTTTATTTGATTTATGAGTCAGTAGCTCCTTACCATGGCAGCTGAATATTTAGATTTGCTTTTGTAATCTCCTCAAAGACTAAACCTCTCTATTGTCTCTCCTTTTCCAAAGACAAGGAACAATCATAAAGTATGTCTCAAGAGTATCTGTAATTCCCAGAGTTTGAGCCTGCATAAATGAGGGTAAAAAGCTTTCTTCAGTTTGATAAAATCCCCTCTGAATTCATTGGCTGACTGCAAAGTAAGTGTGCATGGAGAAAGGACCACTCTTTAACTGTCTTTTCAGCAAGAATTGGGTTCTGGCTCACACATCTATTGGCTTGACACATAATTTTAGCTAGATGTATACATCTTTACAGAGAAAGAGAAATTTACAGTGCATGTCTGCCACTGATGCCTTGGAAGTGTGGACATATTCAGTAGCTCTTCTTTGATAGTATGTAATTCTTTAAGTGTTTACTGTAATTAGTCCTGTGCAAATCTTCATTTTGCATAAAAGCAAACAATACTTTTCTATAACCTGTCAATCCATTGTAGTAATATTAGTTGGACCAGAAGATTATTAGATCATTTGAACAGGATGAAGAACACAGAATGGAGCTGATGTTCTGGTGCTTCTGTCTGTTTCCACATAACAATTTTCCTTACTCAAATGAGGTGTAATCTCTCCTGTAAGAAACATACACATTGGTTGCAACAACTGTGGTCAATAGAAATATCATCTTCAGTGTTTTCTACTTTGACTAACACAGATTTGTCATAATGATTTTTTTTTTCTGTTTGGCATTTTTCTACTAAGTAGACTGGACTTTCATGTGGTAATATACACTAATAGAAAACAGTGGATATCAAGCCCTCGAAACTGTTTACTTACCCAGGGATAATTAAGGGACCTTAAGACCAGTAGCTTTTGTGTTTGCATATAGGACTCTTCAATATCTACATGAGAGATCTACAGATAGTATGGTGATTCTTTTCACAGATGCAAGCAACCATGTTTCTAAATTAGAAATACTGAAGGTACTGTTGCTGTGCAGTCTTTATTTGGAAATGGATCCTATAAAATAAGCAGTGTTACATTGTTCCTTGCTTTGTCATGAATATTGGCTAGGGACTCTCAAAGATTATAGAAGCAACAGCCTTTATTTAAGATTGTATGTTAATTAATATACTATACAAAGTAAATTAATGTACCATGTCAAAAATATTAAATACATACAAAGCATATCAATATTATGCCTTAAAGCACCATCTGTACTGGCAGTATACTGATTTCCCTTTATGGGAAATGGTGGTGGAATAAGCTGGAGACAATAGGAGTTTGACAGACTCCAGGACATATCTTGTGTCTTCCCTCCAGAAAGGGGATGCGACAAAAAAGCAACACTCTACTATGTATTTCTTTTCCTTGAATAGCAGAGGAAATAAAAGATTATGAACTCTTAGCTGCCTGAGAAACCCCACCATGATGCTCCCCTTGAGCAAGGAACGGTAAGACTGCATGTGAGGTATAGTCAATGTCCTTGGAGACAGACTTCTTTGGAGTTCCAGTCTTATTAATGTAAGAACACACACTGGTAAACATTGTACCTCTGCAAGGGTGTATAAAGGGAATAGAATTTTCAACCAGACCTGTAATTCTTACTGAAATTTTGCTAGGTTATTTTTGTAGGCCTCTGTATTTCATCACTTGTGTATAGTACTACATCAATGTTTTTCTTTACTTTTAATCAGTGGCAGGGATGCTGCCTGCCTTTGTGAGCCCTCCCTGTATGAGCTAACTACCCCTCTCCTTTATATAAGCTTGTTCAGCTGAGCCATCATAATGACAGCTTCTACAGAAGGGCAGAGAGAAAAGTGTCACATCCAACTCCTCACTTGTCCAAAAGTGCTGTCAAAACTTGGAATTTAATCTTTGAGATTAGTGCTTAAAAATCAGAGCTCTAGAGCCAGGATTTTGGCTTCATGAAAGTCAAGCTGTGTAATTATTTGAAAGCTCAGCGGTCAAACCCAAAAAACTCAGACTTCAGCTTAGTGCAGCTTTCAATAATATTAGTTTGTTATTTCTATAAATGTGAGATAACATATGTATATAGTATAGTACAGTTACTGACCAAATGGGGTTTAATTCCTGATAATAAGAACAGACAAATCAGTTAAATGCATTAACGTGGTATATAAAACTTCTGAATGTTGTTATTCATGTGGCAACTGCCTAGCTTCTGTGTGCAGAATATGCTTGTGACAAGAAGGAATGATCAAAGACAACTCAGATATGTATAGATCAATGCTTGAAGTTCCCAACTGTAGTGAGTGGTCTGAGAAACTGAGCACTCTGCAGGGAATCAAATGAGTTCAGGCTTATTTATGTGTGAGTTTTTAA